AGAAGCATGCTATCACCGTCTAAAAAAGTTTCGAGCATAAATTTTATCGGCGGAAGTGTATCTATGGTGTCCGATACGAGCATGGGAAAGATCAAGGTTTTTTTTTTTTTTTTTTTTTTTTTTTTTTTTTTTTTTTTTTTTTTTTTTTTTTTTTTTTTTTTTTTTTTTTTTTTCACGGTCGGGAAAATGACGTAAATTCCTTTATACGAATCACGTAATAAATACAGGGTGATATAACAAATACAACAAATAGGCCAAATGTTTCTAGATAATATTAAAGATCAATTATTCTTTTTCGAGATTACCTAGATTTATAATTTTTTCTTTCGTTCTTTCTTTCTTTGTTTCTTTCTTTTTCTTCTTTTTTCTTTTTTCTTTTTTTCTTTTTTTTTTTTTCATTAACCCCAAAAGTCTTTCGAAACAAGTAATTGATTTTTAAAATAATCTAGGTAGTTTTACTTGGTACGTATTTACGTATATATCTTTATATATAAGTCGATTATTTTACATAACGACGTGCGATGCACCGAGTAATCCTCTCCTTACTCCCTTTCCTAAAATAGAAAGTAATCGATATATCCTGACATACATTTTCATGGTTGTTACCACCAGTATGCATTTAGATAATGGAAATCGTTTCTTCGTCTAAAGGTTATCACGATTAATAATAAAATAATTATACAGGATAATATCAACAAGTTCGTACAGAAATTCGTTGAAAATATTGAAAATTTTCTATTTGGTTTCCAAGGCCCTTCTTTCCTTTCTTTCCCCCTCTCCCATCCATCCCTCATCCCTTTTCTCGAAAGTTTCGTTTCTTACCTGCTCACAATCCATAAGGTTTCCAAGGAAAAAAACTTTTGAAAAGAAAAGAAAAGGAACGGCAAAATGTACGTCTACCTAAGTTTACTATGAATAGAAAGGACATTTACAGTGTTCTTCTTTAATTTCATCCATTTTTCTTTCAGAATTTGTCTGAGTGTTTTCGCTGTTCATTTTCCTTCACGAATTCTCAACTTCATTTTCTTTTTTTACTTTTTCTTCTTCCTCTTCTTCTTTTTCTTTTTCTTATGAAACTTTTTCGTCGTGCATCGACTGTCCTTTAGCAGCTGCAACGATATCATCAACATAAGTAAGTGAAACGGGAAGATACAGTTAAGAAAAATAATTGAGGAGAGGGAATAAAATATACTTATATATATAAAGTAAAGAGAACAAAGAAAATGCTTTTTTTATACTAATTATAGATCTTTTCTGTAATTTTTCCGCAACTAGTCCGATATATTTCATTTTTCTACTGACTTTTCATTATTATTTACTAAGATATATAAATATACAAATTAAATATATATATATATATGTTTTAATAAATTTTCAATCAAAAATATTTAAAACTCTAATAAGCAAGATAGTTGCAAATAGAAAATAGAAAAATATCTAAATTTTTACAAGTGCTTTAACTCCGTCTGTTATTTTATTTATTATTTAAAAAAATATTTTCTAATCGTTAATTTCTAATTTTGATTGATATATTCATATAAATATATATATAATATATATTTATTATATCGCTTTTCTCAGATCGGCGAAAATGGCATTCGCTTAGAAGAGCAACGCGGCGACGATTCACATTTGGTTCGCTTCATAAGCCTTCTCGTGCTTCGAATGGAACCGGTTCTCGCGATCCACAAAGAAACCCACCTTTCTGCGCGCGCTCGCGCTCACGCAAGGTCCGCTCTCGTCCCTCGGGTGTACGCGGTACCCTACCCTTCTCTCTTTTCTTCTCTTCTTTTCTCTTCTCTTCTCCCCATTCGATTTTTACAATAAATTATTTTCCATCCGTCATCGGCATCGCCCGTTTTACTGCCTCAAATGAATATATATATATATATTTATATTTCATTCTCTTTGTCACATTCACCATCTTCTTTTTCCCCCCCTTCGTTACATCCGTTCCTATTTTTCTCTCTTTCTTCCTTTCTTTGTTACTTTTGTTTTATTTCTCTGCTGTCTGCTTGGGTCTGTCTGTCTGTCTGCCTGCCTGTTTGTTTGTGTCTGCCTTCTGTTGCTACTCTTGTCTCCTCTTCCTCGTTGTTTCTATTTTATCGGAGATAGCATCGAGATTCTGTCATGAACGCTGTGCAAACGTTTCGTCAAGAGACCACCGTGTGTTGTTCTTGTAGTAGTATAGTAGTGTAGTAGGGAGTAGAGAGTAGGGAGTAGTAGTAGAAGCACATCGGTCTCTTCGAGGCTCGTACTTATACGGTTTCGAAAGCATCGTGAAAGGGAAATCTCGTAAATCGTCGAAATATGCTCGTTCAAATTGGCCACTCGCTCGTACGAGCTAATAGCACCTTCCTTCTAATATTTCTACGTTTCTTTCTTTCTTCTTTTTTTTTTACATCTATTTTTGTGAAGGACACGATTACTTGTTCTCTCTTTTTTTTATGTATTTTTTACATCATTCGCGAAGAAGTTTCTAATTTTCGTTAGTGGAAATAAAATGGCCGCCGTTTTCTCTCGTATACCTGACACCGTAACGTGATCGACGAAAAGTATCAGAAATATATTCGAGTTTTTTGGGACTGTGTCAAAAACACGGTTGTCCTTTTTTTTTTTTTTTTTTTGAATAGCCTCGAACGAACAGGAAGGAACGAACACGCACAAAGAAAGAGAAAAAGAAAGCGAGAGAGAGATAAAAAGATAGATAGAGAAGAGGCCCCTTTATGACCTGTGAAGGATTTCAGGTTGAATAGCTCCCAGGGTCTTTTAGGATCGTCTATCGTTTCGAGTCCCTTCTTGGAACTCGAGCCCTCATAATGTACGCCCGCACTGGCTGCCTGTATATACATATACTATAATGGTAAAATGGAAAGACAACGTCATCTGATCGTTTCACTATGAAGTTAACGAATCAAAGTTGATACTTACGTTCCTATGTATCTTTACATATAGCGATTTTGCAAATTATTTGAGAAAAACAAAAAAAAGAGAGAGAGAGAGAGAGAGAGAGAGAGAGAGAGAGAGAGAGAGAGAGAGAGAGAGAGAGAGAAGGAACATGTGAGAGCGCAGCATTACTATCTTACGCAAATAGATTTCACTTTCTATTTTGTTACATTGTTCGACGAACTATCTATACGTTCCAAGAAAGCAGTAGAAACAACTATGAGGCTTTCGTATATGAGAATTTGACACTGCTGTGACATATAATATATATATAATAGAACAACAGCGGCAAAACAGATATAATTTTTTCTTCAACGTGTCTGCTTTTTCTCATGATGTCCTCTAATTCTGTTGAGTGTCTCTCTCTCTCTCTCTCTCTCTCTCTCTCTCTCTCTCTCTCTCTCTCTCTTTCTCTCTTTCAAGTATCTTCTTCACTGATTTTTTTTTCCATTTCTTTCTTCTTTTTTTTTAACTACAATGTACTGCTGTTTTTCCTTCATTCTTTTTTCAAATCTAAACTAACGATTATGTTTTTCAATATTTATCTTTTTTCTTTCTCTTTTTCTCTCAAAAGATAGGAAAAAGAAGTGTTCTCTGAAGAACTTCTTTCATTACAATGTAATGTTGATTTTTCTTTAAAAGAAAGAAAGAAAGAAAAAAAAACTTTGAATTTTATTTTATACTAACAATTATAAATTCTCCAAAGTTTTTCTCTCTCTATTTCGTTTAATGGATAGATTGAAAAAAGAAATGCTATTAAAAAGAGCATCATTAAAGAGTAGGAAGATCTTCTTGCGTTCTCTTCAATATATAACAGCCACGGACACTCGATAGTTTTACCTCATCCTATCAGCAGAGTGATTCTATTTAAAGCATTCAATATTAACCAGTCCATACATCCTGAAAAGATCGTATATTAAACTTTGAGTTAGAATCTTCTTATTCGCTAAAGAAAAAAGTTCGATTAAGATTTCTCAACGATCAACAACGATCATAGGGTGGTTTGGTCAGAATGACATTTTTTATGAGTAAGAAAGAACAACTTCTTATAGAAGGGAAACACAAATGCACGCACGCGCGCAGACATACACACGTATATCATATATGTATATATATATATATATATATATATATATATATATATATATATATATATATATATATATGAGAGAAAAAGAACGTGTGCAACTGTAGAAGAATGTACTAAGTATTCGTCGCTTGAGGATAATTATGGACAATCAAGAAAGCTTGTACTTCGGGTAGAACATAGTGAGTGGTGCTTATATGACCGTATATCCGACTGTATATATATATATGTATATATATATATATATTCCTTGGAATGCAGATGTGAGAATATGAAACGACGACTGTTCATTTTGATACAAACACCAACGGCAACTGCTTACGTCAATTCATCATCGTCGTTCACATATGATCTCTCATCCGTTTATACGATACTCATTCTTCAATTTCGACTATAAAAGAGAAAAAAATAACTATCAATATTTTTATTTTTATTATTATTATTATTATTATTATTATTATTATTATTATTATTATTATTACATAGTAATAGATACATTATACGAGCTTGTAAATACTGCATCACAATTCTGTTTAGAAACATGTATCTCGCGAAATATGGCGGGAAATTCAGAAAGTTCATTACAACATGGCCTTCTAACCGGCGGGAAATTCAAATTACCGTAACATGGAAAGATCGTTTTATCAAGAGTTAGCGATGATTATAATATGTAAGAATTATGCAAATTATATTTTTGCCCCACACAGGCGCGCGTGCGTACAATACAACAACGATTGTTACTATAAAGAGAACATCTCGTAGTATGATGAGCGTTGGTGGGTCTTCGTACGGGATCAATTCTCTTTCTGTCTCTCTCTCTCTCTCTCTCTATATATATATATATATATATATATATATATATATATATATATATATATATATCTCTATTTCTCTCTATCTCTCTACCTCTCTATTTCTTCAGTCGTGTGTCAGCAATATAATTTGTTTATATATGTGTTACAAGCCTCGTTATATTATCATCGGTCGCACATCATATATACGTACATACGTACGTACAGTTTATACTCGAGCGAACATAACCTCTCTTCCCCTCTCCTGTTTCTTTTTTCCTCTCCTCTCCCTCCCATCCCTCTGTGCACACATTAGGCCATACAAAATAATACACGTTCGCGAGGGAATACAGTCACGAACGTGCGGGCAACTCGTAATTCTCTCCCCTTCCCGACCAGTTCCCCTCTCCGCTTCGTTCCTCTTCTTCTTTTGCCCCCACTCCTTTTCTCTCATTCGTTCTCACTTGAGGGAGAAGGGAAGCGAACCGTAGAACGAGAAAAGGAGGGGGGAGGCTTACTACGAGAGTCCACGCGCGCTCTATAGTAAATCGACTATAATACTATGAGTCAGTCACACCCACAAGTCGCTTGTGGGTTCAAGACCCTCGTGTACGCGCATATATATATATATATACACACAGACAGAGATATAGAGAAAGAAAAAGAGAGGACTCACGTATTACGTCTCTGCCTACGATGAGCTAGTAAACGTGTGATGCTAGCGCGCGCGCACATACACACATACACACACACGTACGGATTGCCGCACGCGAGGTCATGCTTACGGACACATAATCGAGGATCTATTGGCCTCGTCTCTCGTGGAATCACTTCGAATATCGAATGGTTCCGTATTGTTTATCTCGATAAGAATTTCTACTTCCGAGTAAAATTGTCGTTGTTGTTTTGTTGTCTCTTATATGTTTATGTTTTTACTTGACAGAGGTTTAAATAATGTAAACTTTAGAAATATATATATATTTCTAAAAAAAGAAAGAGATATATTTCATATATGAAAGATATAGACATATATATAATGCATACATACGTATATATGTATATATACATTAGCGTGATTAGATGATTCTTGCACTATACTTGGGATCGAATATAGTATTATTTTCTTCTTCGGTCAATGGCTCGAGGAGTGCTTGGCATTTACTCGACCGGTATATATGACAGCCCTTGGAAAACGACGTCGGTAGGAAGATAGAACTTTGTTTTTATATTTCTAATCCCTGATATATCTACCACCATGACGTCTCTTTGAATTCTTTATTGATTTATTTAATTTGACTTGGGCGATTTAAGAAACTGGAACCAATAGAGATCTGATAATTTTTTTTTCTTTTTATAAACATGTATTTTCTTTTCTTTTCAGTCAGGTGAATGTTGGATACAGAGAGTAGACGCGGTACTGGGCTGGATCAGGGACCATCGAGGGACCCTTGGCTCGCTATGGATTACTACCTGGGCACCGATAGTCTTTCACTTCAGGAAATGCTCGACGTCGACATCAAATGCGAGATCGAAGGGGTAATCGGTGGCCACGCAGATCTTGGCTTCAATTTCGGTGATTTGTCGCCGTTAGAATTGGACGACAATCCGGTTGGATGTGACAACGATCTCAGCGGATGGTTCGGTTCCACCAGTTTGCTCAACGGCAACAGCAATAGCTCTAACAGGTATGAATGATGATGATGATCATGATGACGATGATGATGATGACAATGACGATGATGATCATGATAATAACGATAACGATGACATGATTACGATAAAACACGAAACGAGATCGGTATGAGACGATCCTCGAATCGATCGAAAGGAGACACCACTTCCATTTCCTCACAGAGTTTTTCTTCTTCGTTTTTCTGCAGCAATTTCAATTTCGATTTGAGTGGCGGCGATGCTGCCTCCATTATGGTGAACCCCAATTCGGTAATGCCCCACATGGCCATCCACAGTCCTACACCAAATAGTAACAGACGGCACTTTTCTTTCTCGCCAAAGATAGACGTTAAAGAGGAGAAAATAGACGTTGAGAACGAGGTAGAAAATGACGATGATAACGAGAATGACAACGAGAACGACAATGATAATGATAACGAAAACGAGAATGAAAACGAAAACGATCATGAAAATGATAACGAGAATGATAATGATAATGATAACGATAATGATAATGATAATGATAATGATAATGATAATGATAATGATAATGATAATGATAATGAAAATTATAACGAGATCGATACGGAAATCGAACAGTATGAAAATGATATAACGGAAACTGAGGAGGACACCGAGGATGAGCAGGAATTAACGAGGACGATTCCGATTTTAAAAGCAAAGGCGTCTACTACGATACCGGTAAATACTGCCGTTAAAACGATATCACCTCAAATAACGAAGGCTCATTTGTCACCGAAAATCAATACGATATCCGGCATAAGGGTACAAAATTTTAAGGTCCTGCAGAGTCAACCGAATCAACAACAACCGCAGCATGTTAGGAAGCAGATTTACAATAACAACATTCACGTCAGCACGACTTCATCTCCAGCAATCTCAACGATTAATAAAGAATTTGATTTGTCCGATTACGAGGACAAGCTCTATCCGAAGCCTGCGTATTCTTACTCTTGCTTGATCGCAATGGCCTTGAAAAATAGTCAAACGGGTTCCCTGCCAGTTTCAGAAATTTACAACTTTATGTGGTAAGTCGCTAACAAAATTTATTTCGTCATATCTTTTTCATTCTTTCTCATTAAAATATTTGAAAGCTAACCGTATTATTTTTATAATATATTTAAATGAAAAAAAACTAAGGATAATAGTTAATAGTGCGAACATAGAAAAAAGAATGTTAACAAAAGAGAAAGACTTTCATTCAACAAACAAAGTCCCAGATCGCTTGTTTTCAGCCATTTGGCCGGAAAGACAAGGGTTGGGTATTACCCCTCCCCCTCTCCTCCCCTCTCCTCCCCTCTCCCCTCTTCTCTTCTCTCCTCGTGTTCGGGGAACGAAGGGAGAAAGTATTGTCTTCTCTCCTTTATTCCCAGGTTACAAGGGGGGAGCTGCCATTTTGTATGGGGCCCTTGGAGCACCAGGTGCATGTCAGGGTACAGTCCCCCTAGAAACTATAGGCGGTACTCTTTGTTTATCCTCTACGATTTTCGTAGACTTACGATTTTTTCAAATAAATTCTTGTGTTCCCCTTTCTGAAGCGTATTTTTATATTAAACGTATGAATTGATGTTTTTATTTATAATATTATAAAAGAAATATAATATGTTCTTTTTTCTTTTCTTTTTTTCCTTTCATTATACGTCCTGTTGTCGGGGATTTCTTAAAGTAAAATTATTTCTTACGTTTTATTTGTAAAAAGTTCGCATTAATTTTTTCGTTCATTTTACCAAGCAAACGTGGCTAAACGTATTTTTAAAACTTTCATATTTATGTTACAGCGAACATTTTCCATATTTTAAAACTGCACCAAATGGTTGGAAGAACTCTGTGAGGCATAATCTTTCGTTGAATAAATGTTTCGAAAAAATTGAGAAACCAGCTGGAAATGGAAACCAAAGAAAAGGCTGTTTGTGGGCAATTAATCCAGCCAAGATAGCTAAAATGGATGAAGAAGTCCAGAAATGGTCAAGGAAGGATCCATTAGCAATTAAGAAGGCGATGATATATCCGGATCATTTAGAATTACTTGAAAGAGGAGAGATGAAGTATGCTGGCAGTGGTGACATGTCGGAAGAAACAGAAAGTTCTGGCGATGAGACTGCAGAAGAAAATGCTGTCTATGATGAATCTATACACAGTCATATCGCAGCTAATTCGGTTACAGATAGTTACGATGAAAGTAGCCAGGATTGCGACGTTGACATAACGGAACAACTTTATGATGAAATTGATATAGAGGATAATAAAGATGCTTTACACATGCAATTAAACATTACTAAACAGGAAGCAATTGAATATGAATTAAGTCCTAGTACAAAAAAGCAGAAAACTCTAACGGGTGCGATACAAGGAAATTACGTATATCAACCAGTAACTACTTCTCGAAGAAAAGCGCCTTTACTATTAAGGGCTGGAACCACAGCAGAATCTTTTCTTAAAATTGAATAAATTTAGATATTATTTAACATATTGAAAAGGATAAATGTATCTATAAGTATTATATACCCATTTTTCAGAGGTTTCGATAAAAACATTTCATGCGCATAGAACAAAATAAAGGAGAAAAATTAAAAGTGCGTCAAATTTTATGCAGTATGACGATCTTATGAGTTGAGTTTAAGATGGATTTCTATATCGTATATCATAATATCCATGAAAAAAGTTCAAAAGCTTTGGTAGAATAATTGATTTATAATTATTATACGTCTTTTGAATTCTTTTCATTGTTAATCGATATAAATGATCTTCGATATAGCACATCATTTTGCTCATAATAATTATTTAATTTTTAATATAATGTAAACTTTATATGATTATAAAAGTTATAATTTTTATATATATTACGATATGTGTGCATGGAAATACTTTTTTGTCATGCCTCAATTACCAAGTAAAATTGTGAGTAGACGCAATCGCAACAAACAACATCAGTACTATATAGTGTACATATGATGATGAAAAGTATAACAAGCAAAGTGGTATATATCCCACTATATCAGTTTAACATGTTAGCTTTTATATGATCGAAAATATTGAGTTATAGATTTAAAACTTTAGTAATTTATGTAACAAACTTACTAGTATATATGTCATGCATTTTAGATTGTATAGATAGTATGTGCTCATGAATTAGCGCTATCATAAATATCGTATTTACTTTACACACTGCATTAGTAACTATAATAAGATATATAGTTACATATGAAGATCTTCCAAATTCATTGAATGATTTCACAAACTTCCGTTTAATATTATTGCGAATAGTATATGTACCGATCTTGTTTCTCTGTAATCTCTATACACGTATAGTTCTATCTTTCTAGCACCATAGAAAATTTCAAAATGTCTTCTCTAATTTTTGACGTATCCTTCTTATCGTAGTTCTTATTTTTATTTCTTTTTTTTTTTTTTTTTTTTTTATTTTTTCTTTTTGCAAAAATATATGTATTGCTTTGCAATTTTATATGTCTGATAAAAAAAGGTGTATTGAGAAAACAAATAATAACAAACAACATTACGTTTATATTAAAAAATTGTTATATTATATATAACTGAACATTATGGTAAAAAAAAATGAGTTTCGAATGCGGTAATTTATAACGTTTTATCTGTATCATCAGCATTATCATTGTTTATATTTTGTAACTATGACTATATTTGAAACGAAAAAAAAAAAAACGAAAAAAAATGTAACATAGATTAATAAGTATTTGGTCATTGTAATGTTGGCCAGACTGATGTATTATACTTTTTATACATTTCTGAGATAAATAATAATTGTAAATGTTTCTGCAATTATATACCTGAAAAAACATAAGATTACGTAGTATCACATTTAGGTAGAGTACAAAGACGACAGCTATGGAATGGTCAGAAAGAAAAAATTTTTTTATAGAATAAGCAGATGGGAATTGTATACCTGATTTGTTTTTAAGTATAACAGTAATCGTATTCTTAGTTTTTATTTAATTGTAGAAAAATGTTCCTTTCTCAACTTAGAACAATATTCAATTGACAACTTGATTATTCGTATAAAAAGTATATAAATTGAGATTTCATAGCTTTTCAGAATATTATTGAAATTTTTATATTGACAATAGATATGGCATATCAGTAATTGATTTTAATATTGTATATACATCTTGCAAGTAATAATGCTAGGTTGTATAACAAAACTATCTTTTTTTTCTTTTTTTTTTTTTCTTTTTTTTTCATTTTTTTTTATTTTTTTTTATTTTTTTTTTATTTTTTTAATTAATGATATGACAAAGCTCACGTTTATGAGTTTTCCTTAAAAATATTATAATACAACGTACCTAATATTTTGATTTATTGACATTATTTTATTGATATTTTTGCAGTAATGTACAAATGTAGAATCAATTAATACAAACTTTGTAAAGTATCTAATCGATAGAATTCTTTTAATTTATTAGAGAAAAATTTTATCCTTTCGGATGTGATTTCTAATTGTCCTATATATTTGCATTATTTACGCTACGGTAAATACTTGATTTGAAAAAATACATACAAAATGAAGGAAATATAACTAATATTTAACAAAAATTATTTCTCGATATTCGTAAAAAGAGAATATGCACACTTTGTCTCCAAGTTATTACAATTCTTATTCATGGTATCTTCTAAGGATATAGAACTTAATTAAAAAATAATATTATATTCAAAATAAGTTGTGTATAATAAGAGCTATCTCTAAATTTATATAACAATAGACGAAATATTGATATACTTGTATTACAACATTTTTAGGAAAATTAAACGTGGTATTATAAATCTATCATGTACTAATACAATAGAAAGCTTGCTTTAAGATGTATAAAGTATGTTTTATGATTAAGAAATGGGACCAATCTTTCAAGTTTGATTTTATCACACAAAGATGTTCTTTTTTGTTTCTCATAAGACAGACTTAGTTGACTCAAAGATACATTTTGTATAGAAAGTATTTGTATTACTGTAAATACTTCTTTTTTTTCTAATAAACATTAATAGATTTTTAATCGTACATTCATGATTTTATTTTTTACAGAAAAACATACATTAAACGATTTCTAATAATTAACAAAGAACTAGCTTATGCATATTTTTCCGTGGATATGTTATAGTATCGATATAAAATCGTCCCTATATATAATTGTGCGAATGATTTTCTGAACGGTTTATTTATTTTCTTTAGCATTGCAATGTCAGTAGAAAATCTCCAAGTAACGTATTAAACTTATATACACATTAATCTCTATTAAAAAGGTTTTCAGAAGCATAATATAAAGATTTAATCACACTCACGTTAAGAATTTAGGAAATACTGTAATTAAATATAACGATCGATGATTTAATCATTTTTCAGCTCGCAAAATTATATTTGCATAAAAATAATTATTATAAAAAGTATGATAGACAATTATTAGGCCCATTAGGCGATCACGAACAGTGCTATAAAAATGTGTGATATGTACATATGAAACTGAAAAACATCATCGTACAACATTTTTATAGAATAACATTGTAAATATTTTTTAATATATACGTGTGTCTGTTGTTATATGAAATAATGAGTATCTTAGACAAAGATAAAATAGGGACAAACGAAAAATACAGTTCATAACATAAAAAATATGTTACTATTCTATTTGAAAGTATACTAGTTAAGTGCGTATAAACCATAAAGCACACTTTTATCACACAATATGTTTTATGAATTATGTTTGTAGAGAAAAAATAAAACGCAATGCAATATACGTAAATACAGATTCATGGAAAGAAAAAAATGGAATTAGAAATATAGATTGTCATATTATGTAACTACCGTCCATGAAAAAAAGAATTAAGCAATATGCGATGCACATTGAAGATACTGCATTTTCATGATATTTAAATAAAATTTTAGAAGATACAGAAACGTTGTGAACGAGTTAATAAAAATATAATGTATTCAAAGTGTAAAATATCAGGATATGGAAGTATCTATAGAAATTTCATAATCAGTAGGAACACGTTGATATTAAAAGAATTAATATATTTCATTGCATATTTTGTATCTATGACATTGCACTGCCAAAAATGGCCAAATTATGTGAAAATAAAAAAATCAAGAAGATCAATGAAGAATAAATGAAAGAATTCGAATTCGAATTAGATTTGTAATCAAAATTTTCCTACCAATAATTATCTTGATTTCGTTATCATTCAAGTAATAATTATATTTTGATACTTTTCTTTTTTCTTTGTAAAACTAATCTCAAATGGATCAAAATTGTGATGCAAACAAAGATCTTGATTACAACTCTGTGAAAGTACAAAAACTTTGATGCATCATTCTGATTATTGTTCATTCAAATTTGGCGCTTTTTCTTTCTTTTTTCTCTTCTTTTTTTTTTTTTTTTTTTTTTTTTTTAATTTAAATAAAAAAAGATAAACGTACATGAGTTTGTATGATTGTATATGATTATAAAATAATAATGATAAAAACGAAGTAACATATTTATTATTATTATTATTATTATTATTATTATTATTATTATTATTATTATTATTATTATTATTATTATGTGCATAAATAAAAGTGTACTTCATTTTATGTATTCGAATACGAAAATTGAAGAATATAAATATTCATAGCTTTGAGAATGATTACATTTATGCGATATATATATATCGCATAATCGGTTAATTGTTAGTTTATAAGTTAAAATAAACAAGTAGAATAGTTTTTGTACCTGTTTGTAACATTTCTATATAATGTATAATCTAATGTAAAGCTCGCGTAGATTCATACAAGTGACTTAGTGCATATTATTAATAACATGTAAATATCGCAATAAAACTTTGGATAATAAAACAGATGAGAAAAGCAAAAGCGCTCTTGATAAAAAACAATTCTTAATGAGGCATTAAGATGTTTTATTCACTTTGTTTTTGATTTGAAAATAAAATTAAAGAGAAATAAAAATCGATTTCTATGTCAAACTAATGTCAGAAGTTCGGTCGATAAGTAAGAAATTTGTAGTATTGCCAAATCTGCAGTTATTGCGTCAAGCAGACACGCTTCTGATATAAAAAAAAAAGTAATGACAATTAAATATTATTCAAAAGATTATTTTAAAATGAAATAATTGTTCTTTTCATTGACTCGTACAATATATATATATTTTCTCTTTTTTATTGCACTATTACGTTTTCTACTTTTTTTATCAGTCGCAAAATAGTGATTCAATATTAGTGTCACGGCACATGCTTTTATCTTTTCAACAAATTCTTTTAAAAGGCAGTGCTAGATGTACGTTTAAAAGAATATTGTTTCCAAATATAATGCCAAAAAGAACGTTACAAAAGCCAGCTGAAAAAAAATTGAAACCAAATTTAAGCTCAATAGAAATGTCTAACGATCAAGAAGTCTCGAATAGTATTAACCTTAATGAAAGCACGCTTTCCATGGAAAATATCCAAGAAAATAATGAAAAGCATAAAATGAAGCTCGAATATTTGAATTCTCCAATTAAATCAGAAAATGATAAAAAAGAGTACAGGTAATGGTAAATTAAAATATTGATCACAATCTTCCTTTGAGATAGGTGACATGAGTGACAGAATCTTTTTTTTAATCAAATTTGTTTAGAGTCATCAAATTGGAAAATGGACTTACAGCTTTGTTAATCGCAGATTTACATTCGACTAAATATCCTTCACATAATATTGATGGTATTCAAGGTAATGATACAGTTTTAACATTCAATTTTTGTAAAAATGTTCAATTTGTGTAGAATATTGTATGGAAAATTGATCTATCTATATGATTTGTACAAATAATAGTTCATTTGTTATGTTAAGCTGATGCAATAAGTAGCGAGACTGAAGATGATGAGACTGATGATGACGATGAAGAGGATGAGGATGAGGATGAGGATGAAAGTGAAGATGAAGATGACGAAAGTGGAGAAGACGAAGAGGGTAAAGGTGAATGCGAACGATTAGAGGGCGATGATGGTCATTCATTAGGAGCTAAACGTCTTAAAAGAGAAGAAAAAATGGTACATTTCAAGAAAGAAAAGAAGAAAAAAAAGATATAGATATTTATTGTAAAATTATTACATGAAGGGTAATACGATATAAAGATTTTTCTTTGTTTTGTAAAATGTGGCTACAGGCAGCATGCGGTTTGTGCGTCGGTGTTGGAAGTTTCAGCGATCCGCCAGAAATTCCAGGAATGGCTCATTTTTTAGAACACATGGTTTTTATGGGTTCTGAAAAATATCCTCAGGTTTGTACTTTGTATATTATATATTATATAAATGAATCATTTTAAAATATTATTATAATTAGAGTTTATTTCAAATGTAAATTATATTTTTTAGGAAAATGATTTTGATGCATTTATTACAAAAAGAAGTGGTTCTGATAATGCTTCTACGGAATGCGAGCAAACCACATTTTACTTCGAAGTACAAGAAAAATATTTATTAGCATCTCTTGATCGTTTTGCACAATTTTTTATTAAACCTTTAATGAAACAAGGTGCAATTGCCAGAGAACGGGAAGCCGTTGAAAGTGGTATGCAGAAATTTATAATCCTTGTGTAATGTATTTATTTGAAAACATATATGTATATATATATATATATATATCTAATAGAAAATATATAGAATTTCAGATGGCTTTGCCTTCTGATCTTTATAGAAAGGAACAGTTATTTTGTAGTTTCGCGAGACCAAATCATCCCGCAAGAAAATTTACCTGGGGAAATTTAATAACGTTACGAGATAACGTAACGGATGATAAACTTTACGAAGAATTACATAAATTTAGGGAACGTCATTACAGTGCCCATAGAATGAAATTGGCTATACAAGTGAGAATATTAAAAATAAATATGTTTAAGAATTATATTACACATGATGGTCACATGATAATATCATAAATTTATGTTCTCTTAGGCTAAATTACCATTAGATACATTAGAAGAATACGTATTGCAATGTTTTTCCGAAGTTCCAAATAATGGCTTACCTCCTAGTGACTTTAGCCAATTTAAAGGAGCAGATTCATTTGATACGCCTAGCTTCAGAAAAATATATAAAGTGAAGCCTATTAAAGATGTTTGTCAAGTATGTCTGTTTTACTTTAGATAGAAAAATAACTTCAATAATAATGATGA